ATCTTCCAAATCTGTTTCCAGAGTTCATGTATGCCCATGCCAGCATTATATGTATTATCTACCTCTCCCTTTTTCACCTATAGTCGCAGTCCAACCACGTGGTGTTGCAACCTTGCTTATTTCACATAACTTATTCATTCATTTAAGAAATATTTACCAAGCTCTTACTATGTGCTAGGCACTGTTCCCAGTAATGAGAGGAGAGCAGGGAGCAAACAAAATACTTGCTCTTAGAAGAGTTTATGCTGTTGTCGACTAAAAAATATGCACAATATGAGAGTGGCAAGTTTAATTGGGGGCAAAGCAAGGATTGCAGCCTGGGAGACAGCGCCTCAGATAGTTCTGAGAGACCACTCTGAGGAGGCAGGGGGGAAGGCCAGTATATATGTGATTTTGGCAAAGGGGGAAGTACATGCAATCAAGCACATATATTTTTGTAGAAACTTTCTGCTGCTCTCAAAGTTTGTGCTAGTCACGAGAAGCAATAGCCACCCTGAAGGATCTTAGTGCTTCTCTAGATTGAGGAAATGTAAGAACTGGGCTCATAAAATCGGCTCCTGAGAATATCTATCTGAAGACCTGTCCTGCCAGTTTCCCAAAGCACAAGGTCCCTCATTTCTGCTCTTCACCGTGAACTCCTTCGGGGGTGTTGGAGGTCAGCAGCTGCGGTGCCACATGATTTAATCCTTGTAGAAGTTGCTGGCAAGCACCCACAGCAAGTGCCAATCCGTGGTTGACACTTCCCAGGTGGTCTCAGCGGTAAGGAACCCGCCTGCCAACGCAGGTTAGACGTAAGAGACGTGGGTTCGATCCCTAGGTCAGGAAGATCCCTTGGAGGAGGACATGGCAACCCACTCCAGTATTCTTGCCTGGAGAGTCCCATGGACAGAGGAGGCTGGCGAGCTACAATCCATGAGGTCGCACAGAATCGGATACGACTGAAGCAACTTGGCACGCACGCACCGCATGCATTGTACTGAAATGTTAGAGCAGGTAAGTAGCTAGGTATGAGCAGGAGATTAGGGGCAACAGGCCAAGAGGCGGGACCACGTGGCCAAAATCTAGGCTCCCTGTCCACTGATGCCAAATAGAAATACGGAGATAGAATTTGGAGAAAATAGAAAAGAGAGCTTTATTATTTTTGCCAGGCAAAAGGAATACGCACTAGGCTAGTACCTCAAGAACTGTGCCCTGTTCTCTTGGGAATAGGGAAACGTTTTATACCCTCATGAAGGTCTTGCTTTTTTTTTTTTCTCTTTTGTGAAGTTTCAAAATGGCTACAGCTGGCACCAGGCAACTCAGCAACCAGGTCTAGTGTCCTTGAAGTTGTCGGCCCCTGACCTTTTTGAAATACAGAATGATACAACAGACTGTAGGGGGAGAAGGATGCCAGGTGCAGAGTACAATTCATAAGAAGTCAGAGAGTAATTAGCTTTGTGAAGGACAAGTCCAGCTACAAGCCTTTGTGGGTAGTAACAGCTAAAGAATAACCAAGATTGTTTAACTCTTCCAAGCCTCTTTGGCTTGTATGTGCCAAAGGCCTTTCACTCATTTCTGTTTTTGCTGTAAACAGCAAAAGTCCAATGACAGACAAAGAAAGGTAGGAACCTCCAGACTGACAGGAAACCACACCTTTTGGGTGATAAGTATCCTGCAAGCAGACAAAGAAAGGCGAGGAAAGGCGGGAATCTCCTGCATAAGCATGTAACCTGTTGCTCATTATGCTCTCATTACAATAAAATTAGCTTCATTAAGTGAGCAGATAAGTTCCCATCATGCACCAACACCATGACCCCTGTGATCCAAGCTGAATAAGGACAAAAACCCCTCCTCTGCTTGGTAAAATGGAGCTGGGATGAAAATCAGGGACTATGACCTCCAAACTCCTCCTTCCCCAGTGAATATTCCACCCCTTCATTTGTATGCCCCTCATATCCGGCTTGCCAGAGAAATCCAAGGCAGCATCTGCTCACCTGTCTCCCCGCCCTCCCTCTGAGGGCATTGTAGTTCAGTCCCTAAGTCATGTCTGCCTCTTTGAGACCCCAAGGACTGCAGCACACCAGGCTTCCCTGTCCGTCACTATCTCCCGGAGCGTGCTCAAACTCATGTCCATCGAGTCAGTGATGCCATCCAACCACATCATCCTCTGTCGCCCCCTTCTCCTCCTGACTTCTATCTTCCCCAGCATCAGGGTCTTTTCCAATGAGTTGGCTTTTCGCTTCAGGTGGCCAAAGTATTGGAGGGCGTATTCTTGCTTAAATAAATTCTCACTTTACTTTCTTAACCTCCTTGCTTGTCTCTGAATTCTTTCAAGATGAGGCAAGAACCTTAAATTCACTGGGAACAAAAAGAAACAGGCAACAAATAACTGTATAAAATGACATCAGATACTTACAAGAGCTGTGAAGAGAAAATAAGCCAGGAGAAGACAAGATAGAGTTGGTGGGCCTTTTTTAAAGAAAGTAGTCAGGACAAGTCTTTTTGAAGACCTGACATTTGAGCAGATATTTGAAGGAAGTGCAGAAGTCATGGGAATATCTGGAGGAAAAGTGGTTCCAACTCCCTGAGCTAGAAGTATGCATGCACGCCCACTCACTCAATTGTGTCTGACTCTTTGCGACCCCATGGAATGTAGCCTGCCAGGCTTTTCTGTCCTTGGGATTTTCCAGGCAAGAATACTGGAGTCATTTCATCCTCCAGGGGATCTTCCCAACCCAGGGATTGAACTTGCGTCTGCTGCATTGGCAGGCAGATTCTTTACCACTGAACCACTTGGGAGTCCCATGATAGAAGATTGCTTAACTTAAAAACCACAAAGCCAGGGTGATTGGAGCATGGGCAAGAGGGATCATGGTGAGAGACAGCATTGGACAGGTATGCTTGGAGATAGTGCACCCGGGGGGTGTCTGTCGTTGACCACGGTAACTCTAGATTTTATTCAGTAACAAAGTTTTTGAGCAGGGGAAGGATGTGATCATGTTTACATTTTAAAGGGATCATTTTGGTTTTGGGGTAGAGAGGAGACCGAGGCAGGGCTGGAGGTTAGAGCAGAAGCAAAGACAGAACTAGTTAGGAGACTATTGCTGTGTGAAATGAAAAATGTTGCCTGCCATGTGTCGACTGAAAAGAAATGCACATGAGAGCAAAATGAGGACTATAGCCTGGGAGACAGCATTTCAGACAGCTCTGAGAAGCTGCTCCAAAGAAGTAGGCTGGGGGCGGGGCGGGGGGAGTTCAGTATACATGTGATTTTGATGACGCGGGAATACATAAAATCAAGCACACATTTTTGCTGAAGGTTGCTGCTGCTAGTGTCACGATGACTACTATTAGTCATGAGAAGCTGACATCACCATCAAAGATTTTAGTGCTTTTCTTGATATGATGAAATGCAAGACTTGGGCTCATAAAACCATCTTTTGAAACTATTTAACTATCTGGAGACCTGTTTTGCCAGTTTTCCCCAGAGCACAGAGTGCCTCATTCCTGATCTCCATCCCTGACTTCTTTCAGGAGGTGCTGAAGGTCAGCAACTGCAGCGGCTCTTAACTGCCACAAAGGTAGACGGCAAGTACCAATGGTAAGTGCCAACTTCTAAGTGACACAGGATGGAGACAAAACCCTTGGCCACTGCAGTCACGCCAGCTGTGCTTCTGAGGGAATTCAGGATGGAGAAAATCTGGATACTGGCCCTAGTGCACATCAAAGGAATGATTTCAGTGTGCTCGACTCTTACACAGAAAAACTCCATATGTAGAAAAGCGCTGAATTCTTAAAGTTGAGATGTCTGGTTTTCTTTAACAGTAATCTGTGTTGGAAAAACCCCAACATATCCCAGATCCTCCCTCATCTTTTCAGAGCAGTTTATCAAAGTTATCTGAGAGGGTGTGTCCTGGACTTAAACCCTCAATTTTGTCTGCCAAAATTCTCAACTTTTAGGTTGTGCTTTTTTTTCCCCCCAGTTGATAGCTGTGTGCACAGCTCGAAGACCAGTCTATAACTAAAGTGTATCTACATCTGTCTCAGTCCTCATTAGTTCTTTCTATGATAATCCATTTTATGGATGTACTATAAAGTACTTAATTCGTTAGTCCTGGATGTTTAGCTTCTTCTCAGCCCTTCTACTGTTATAAACAATGAACCAATGAATATCCTTTATGTTCATGTCCCAAGATTATCTGCAGGATTATTCCACGAAGTATAACTGCTGATCACAGGTTACAGTATGTTATTTCTCACACTGAAATTAAATCTGGTGAACTCATTCTCACCATGAACCCAAAAAAACAAGGGGTTTTGTTTGGTTGGTTGGTTTTGTCAGGCAAGTGTATGCTCCACGGTTCTTTGCCTCGTCACAACAAAAATTTGGAGTGACGGACATTAATGCCCCCTTAGCGGGTCACAGCTCTCGGGTCTTGGACAGACCATGTTATAGCTCTTAAATAAATCAGTGTCACAGCTCTATTTTATTTAGATAATAGCAGGAAAACCCATCTTCGAGGCGTGAGGGCACGTCGCTCCAAAGACGCGAAGAGAAGAGCGCCCCATCGCAGGGGAGAGAGAGAGAGAGGGAAGAGTGCTTTGGCTCCTTTTTTTATTTGTTTCTCTGTCCCTGGGCCTGTCCTATGTAAATTGGGCCAGCCAGGAGTGTTGTTTGTTTTACCTGAGGTTCTCACTCCGGTCCTCGAACCTTTCTTTGTTCTATTTTCGTGGGCTTTTCCCTTCCAGGTCTTTTAGTCACCGCCATTCTGGACTCCTTTTCCCTATTCTAACTACCTAACAGTTTGGTTTTGGTTTCAGTTAAAAAAAAAAAAAAAAAACTTTGGGGAATTGGCTGGCCGTCCAGTGGTTAGGATTCGGAGTTTTCACTACCCACGGGTGGTGGGCATGCCAAAAAAAAAAAAGAAAAGAATTCTTTGTCATACCACTGCTTCGGAAATTAAAGAGAGAGGCATGCGCCACCCCTCCCACATCAGTTTTCTTCTTTAAATATTCCCAGTCTAGCAAGATTCCGCCTGCGGCTCCGTCATCTCTCCCAGAATAGCCTCCATCTCAGGTGCCAGAGAGAGAAACTGAGGCACAGGCAGGCTCCGAAGCACAAGTCCTTCCCCCGGTCTGGCTGTCCCCTTTTCCGCCTTAACGTTTCCTTCCCTCTCCCATCCCTCCGGGCCAACTTTCAGGCTGCCAACCGCCAACCCCGGCCCCTCGCGGCTCAGAAGCGGGACTTCCACCCGCTGCCCCTCCTCGGCGCGCTCGGGGGCTGCGGAAGGGGCCGTGACGCCTCCTGGTCCCCTCCGAGCCGCCGTAGCCTCGGGAGTTCGGCAGCTCCAGTCGCCAAGGCAACGGGCTCCGCTGAGCTCGGCGGGCGCCCGGCAGCCCTCCGGAGGCGCTGCGGGCCGGGGGCCCGGGCTCGGTCGGCGGCGGGACGGCAGGTGAGCAGGGGCCGGGCGGGCAATAGCGGCCCGACGCCCGGCTCCCGGCGTCGATTCTTCGCAGCGGGCGAGGGGCTGGGCCGCTGGGGTTTCCGGAAAGGAGACAGGGCCTGACCTTTTTCCGCGGCTCCCCCCTCCTCCATCCTTGGCGCCGGGGAGGAGCCCCTTGAGCAGTTTAATTCCGTCGGGCGCGGGCGGAGAGTCGCTTTGCGTGTTCATTATGTTGGGGGTGGGGGGGGGGGGCAATTGGCCTGATTCAAAAGTTTTTTTAAAAGCACCTCTTGTTTGGGGGTCGACAAAGAACTCCGAACTGCCGAAAACGAGCATCTGTGCGACTCTTCTGGGGCCAGAGAGGATTAACTTCTTTGTACATCATTTTTCCCATCTGCAGAATGGGGACAATCACAGCACTTGTTTTAGAAGGTTCAGTTCAGTTCAGTTTAGAAGGTTATTACAAAGTAAATAATATATTTCAGATCTTTGCAGCTAAATCCTCAATCCTTGGGAGCTTTTATCATTACTACTACTACTAAAGAAGGTCCATTATCGAGCATGTGTTGTGTTCCAGGGCCTGGGCTGATCGCCAGGGGTAAAAATAAGTGAATGAGACATCTTGTCCTCAGGGAACTCCACAGTGTTAAGGTATAAATAGGAGCTCATTGTGGTTCCAGCTATGATTTTGGACATTCAGGGGACTGTGAATACACAGAGAAGGCAGTTAACCCAGATTTCTGGAGATGAGGTTGGGGAGGATGGTCAAAGAGAGATTCCAAAAGAAGATGCTTTTCAAAATGAGACATGACAGCTACCTTTGTATTGGCCGGAAGATGAAGCTGGTGGAGTGCATAGTGTTCTGGGCAGAGAGAACCGACCAGTGTAAGGTCCTGGGGAGAAAGTGCAGGCTTCCTGGACATCTGTTAGCATTTCATAGCCTGGTTAGAGACAGATTCTGGGAAGTGGAAGTGGTCTAGCTAGATGTGTCTGAGAGAGAAGCAGGTGCCCTTCTGAAAGATTTTCTTGTGTCTCCCTGTAAGTTTGGACTTTGTTGTGAGGGTTGGTGGGGAACACCAAAGGATTTAAATCTGGGCAGTGAGTGTGTGGTGTGTGTGTGTGATCAGAGGTGTGGTTTCCAAAGATTAGGGGTTTTTGTTCTCTCCTGGTCTCGTCACTCCTCCAGTCTGTTTTTCACGTTGCAGCTATTCATTTATGGTGATTTAAAAAAAAATGTATTTATTGAACATCTGTTACGTGCCAGGCCCTGTGTAAGGAAACAGGTTCCTACCCTCTGGCATGTATTCTAGACATGTTCAAAGGTACATCCATGGTGACGGAAGTAGTCCAGTACAACTAGAACTGAATCAATACCAGAAGAGACCCATCCAGAGAGTGGTTTTTTTTTTTAAGGCCCAGATCATTCAGGGTCACTATCTTGTACACTCTTGGCAGAACCATTCACTTAAAACTATACCAGGAAGAAATGGCCAGAGAAATGGGAGGAAAACTAGGAGAGTGTCGTAAGGAAAGCCCAAGGAAGAGATCCACTCTGTTGGATGCCGTTGAGATTTCAAGTAAAATAAGTTATATGTAAAAATGCGCCTTTTGCTTAAGTAAATATAGAGGTCACCGAGAAACCCAATTGAGCAGATTTGGTGAAATGATGGGGGTGGAATCTATAATATCAGCATCTTCCAAAGGTTCAGTGTAATATGTCAGTGGAATGAGGAGCGAGTGGGATGTGAGAAAGTAACGTGTAGGCAGCTCCAAGAAGTTTGGCTGTGAAGAGAGGCGAGGAGAAGGCTAGAGAGCAGTTGGGGAATCAGGTGAAGTCTTTTTAAGTAGAAAACAGACAGGAGCAGATGTAAATGCTGATGGTAGAGCCAGTAAGGGAGGGAGAGACTGAGAAAATACAGGAGATTTTCTCAGGGGAAAATAAATGGCACAAACAACTTGCCAAAAATGTGAGCGTGGATACGATCCACAGCACAGATCCTTTACAAAGAGTCTGATGACGTGTTTCTTGTTTTTTTTTTCCTGGACATATGGTAAGCAAGGTAATTGCTGAAAAGGAATGCGCCCGTGTAATGCCAGCAGAAAAATAAAAGATGTAAATGTGGAAAGTTCTATATTCCTGCTCATCAGATAGGAGACATTTATTGAACTAGCATTGTGTTAAACCCTCTCCAGGTACACTAGTCTCCGTTGAAAGCATGCTCTTTACAACAACCCTGGGAGAGAGAGAGCCTCTAGTGTAATTCCCAGCTTATGGATGAGGACATTGGGGTATAATGCTTAGCCCGGGTCACATAGGATTTGAATACAGTCCTGAGCCCAGAGCTTTTGCTCTTAATCACTCCTTAAATGATATGATTGTCTCCCTATGAGATGATTATCTGCTGAAAAAAATCCAAGAGAATTGAGTTAAAAATAAGCAAGCTACAAGAGAGACAAAAAACAATAGCTTTATACCAGCAGCAGGAGTAAGAAAATGGAATTGTAGGTGAAATGGCAGTAGCGACATGAAAAATAAATACTTAAGAATAAACCTTAAAATAAATGTACCCAGGCTAGTCAAATAGGATAAGAGTTGGCTGGAGGTTGGGGAGTATAGGTCAGGAAGTGTGTTTGTATGCAGAGGAAGCAATTTTTTCTTTGGGAAAATCAGGGTATTGATACCAGGAACAAAGCATGTGAAAAACCCAGATGTCTATTATGAAACATCATGAGAAAATATGCAAAGATGTTGACTGTGATGTTTTTATAATATTGAAAAACTAATAACAGACTGGCTACATTATGATGCAGTCATGTGATGGGTGCAATCAGCCATTAAAAAAGAGGAAGGTGGTAACCATATATATATATTTATGAGAAAGATGTTTACGTCACGTGGTTAGGTGTGAAAACAGATTTCACTTGGTTGGTTTTGGAGTTTTTTAAGTGTATACATGTATATTGATAGGAAAGATGTCTAGAAAGATGAGTTCTTTATTTTTTAAAAATATTTATTTTTTATTTAGCTGTGCTGGTCTTAGCTGGGGTCCACGGGTTCTTCAGTTTTCACTGTGGCATGAGTGATCTTTTTAGCTGTGGCACGTGGACTCTGTTTCCCTGACCAGGGATTGAACCCAACCTCCCTGTCTGTGTTGGGAGCGTGGTGTCTTACCATTGCATAGAGGCACTACCATAGTGTAGTGACCTACCACCAGGGAAGTCCCAAGACGAGTTCTTTAAAACAGTTTTTTATTTTTTATTGTGGGAAGCAATCCATACATTTATTATAACCATATTTAAGTGTACAGTTTAGTAGTGTTAAGGATAGTTACATCCTTGTGCAATCAACCTCCAGAATTTTTTCATCTTGCAAATCTGAAACTTTATGCCCATTAAGACAATTCCACGCTTACCCCTCTCCCTAGTCTCTGGCAACCACCATCCTCCTTTCTGTTTCTATGAATTTGGTTACTCTGAATACTTCATACAAGTGAAATCATTCAATTTTTATCTTTTTGTGCTGTTTTTCCCCCATTTAGCATAATCATAATGTCCTAAGGGTTTCCCTGATGGCTCAGCGGTAAAGAATCCGCCTGCCAATGCAGGAGACATGAGTTCCATCCCTGGGTTGGGAAGATCCCCTGGAGAAGGAAATGGCAACCCACTCCAGTATTCTTGCCTGGCAAATCCCATGGACAGAGGAGCCTGGCAGACTATAGTCCATGGAGTCACGAAAGACTCAGACACTACTTAGCTACTAAACAACAATGGCAGCAACATAATGTGCTAAAGGTGCATCATTGTTGTAGTATGTCAGCATTTCCTTCCTTTTTGAGGCTGAATGATATCCCACTGTATGGATATATACATTTTGTATATACATTGTATGTATGAACACATTTTGTTTATTCATTCCATAGATGGACATCTGTGTTGCTTTCCCCTTTTGGCTATTTTGAGTAATGCTGCTACAGACGATGAATGTGCCAGAAAGATAAGTTCTTTGTGTCCTGAGACCCATGGGGAGCCTTTTATTCTTTTCCTTATTGCCTTATTTTTCTTTTTTATGAGCATGGATGGCTTTCATAATCAGAAAAAAACAATAAGGATATATCCTATTTGGGGAGATGGGGGAATAAACGTTAAAAAAAAAAAAGAGAGAGAAAAAGAGTCAGACCTAGGGCAGTGGCTGCAGGAATGGAATGGAGTGGGCTGATTTGAGAGACCTTTCGGGAGAATCAACAGGACTTGACAACCAAGAGGTAAAGGAGAAAGGAGTGAAGGACAGAACCCTGGGGTCTGTGGGGAGAGAGGGCTTAGACTTGGGGAAGTGAAGTAAAGTGAAAGTCACATCAGTCCTGTCAGACTCTTGCGACCCCGTGGCTGTAGCCTGCCAGGCTCCTCTGTCCATGGGATTTAGACTTGGGGAAAAGAGAGGGAATAAGGTTGGAGAGCCACCTGAGCCTTTTTGTTCAGTGGTTTAGACTCTTTCCTGATAGTAGAGGGAAACCGTTGAAATGAAGGGAAATGACTTAATCACATTCGAGTTATAGAAAGATCACCGTGGCCAATCCATGCTGTGAGCTGAAGCCAGAGTGCAAAATTTCCCTTTGTGTTACTTAGACTTGAACCTTTGTTCATTTCCCGTTATTTGAGACAAAGCATTGGTGTTAAAAGATGCATATCTACTCTTCTAAAAGCACCTGAAATATTTTAAACAAAGTCCTATTTAGGTTACATTGATTCTTAATCGCATTCAGTTTTATCTTAACAACACAGTCTCCTGTTACTTGACTTTCTACCTTTAGCAGGGGAAATACAATTGGGAAAGCAAACAAGAAATATAAACAACTCAAGTTATAGACCTTCAGTTAATTGCAAATATCTTTGTCCTTTGGGGAGAAGAGGGTCAATGAGGTAAACAGTGTCTTACCAAATGCTTACTAGAAAGCAAAAATTGTTAAAGAGTCCAAATGGACTCAGCTCATTACCTACTTCTCTTCCCACAAACCTGTAATGTCTCTGCTCCCAGAGCCTCCCAGAGAGGGAACTAACTGTTGTGCTGACATCTAATAAGCATTTTGCAGTTTTTAAGAGCTTCATGTCCAAAAGATGTGAACCCACGATCTCATTTCACTCCTTCCAATAATCCTTAGATAGGGATTATCATTCCTATTTTCAGATGAGGAAATTGAATTTCAGAGGATTTAAGAAACCTCCTAGCTCCTACATCTAATAAATTCTGGACTTTGAATCTAGGTTTTCTTATTTTCTTTTTATATTATAGCCTCTTTTTATGTACAGTTTTAAACATACAAAAGTAAAAAAGATGGTAT